TAGGTAAGCGTTGCCATATGTCCTACCATTACAGTACTATACCACAATTCCGGGAACTTTTTGACTGCCCCTCGTATGGCATAACTAGATGTGGTTTGGTGATGAGATGTTTTTTCTGAGGGTAGCTCTTTCGGTGTATTGATGTTGTGTTCAGGTTGCTTTAGAAATATTTAAGTGATTTGTAATTGACATTTTGTTTGGTCGTTGTATTTTGTTTCCTGTTTGGGGGTACGTCTAACTGCATTGTCTTAACCCAGTAATTTATGAAGCAGTGCAGTAAGGTCATGCCACTGCATGTGACACTGCATTCTTAAGAAACCTGATTATAAACAATATCACCGCCTTCTGTGAAGGGTCATTCAACTTAAGATTGTCATTTTGTATAACAGTAAATTTTAAGAAAGCGTGCAAATTGAGTTTAATTTTTGTTTTAAATAAAAAAACAATATATTCACAGGTCATGTCTTGAGAACTTGTATAGCTTGGTGTGGAAAGAGAGTAGTTTAGAAAATATCGTAGTAGTAAATACATAAGTTTGTAAAGGCTTCCGCACATTACATTACCAGATTTTAGAGATTACGTTTACATCAGGTCTGGCCCAGAATGTATGGTCTTATAATTCTTCTTGCAAAATTGAATAGTAGTTCAGAAGTAGGCAGTATATTTCAGTGCCACGAAAGTAGACAGTGCAGTTTCTGGTGAGAATATTCCTCAATGATGCCCATTGATGTTACATTAAATTTATTTATTAACATTTGTAATGGCGTTGAAACAATTTTTAACTATTATCTTATTTAGGTTCAGAGAAATGACAGCAGTCTCCAAATTTTAACAGGAAAGATTACAGGTATCAACTTCATTTTGTGCGAGAAACATTTGCTTGGAGTTCGGAGTACTTACTAGCATTTTTTAGTGTTCCTTCATAAGATCTCGGACAGAATTGAAAGCAAAGCAGAAATGTATTGTCTTACCCACTTCTAACTTCAACCAAAAGGAAGCTCTTTTCATTAAAATTGTTAACGTAGCTCTGCTGTGGGTTATATCTTGTTTGTGTTTTAACATATGTGATTATTTCTAAGCCTGTAGTAATTAATTTTAAGCTTTATTTGTGATTTATTAACATTGTTCTTTAGGTTTTGGGTACTTTACTGTGTGGATTGCATTGCCAGCATTTCAGAAGAACATACTGTCTTCATCATCAGGGCTGAAATGAGAAGTGTTGTATGAGTAGATTGTTTATATAGGGACAGGAGAGGGATTGGATGGATGGAGAGTGATGGGCAGATCAAAGCCATGGGACGAGGAGCCCTGATGATGGAGGTAGTATACTCCTCTTAAACGTTGGTAGCGCAGCCAACTGCAAGCACCTAGGTTTATGATGATGATGATGATGATGATGATGGTATTGGTTATGTGGGCAAGCTCAGTTGAATGAGGACCATCAGCTACTCCGAAAGCTGCAAGACGAGCAAGGCCAGGCTCAGGGAGTGTTGGAACAGGAGCTGCACAATCAGCGACAACAACTGGAGCTTCACATTGCTCATCTCAATGAGACAAATCAGGAGGTGAAGGCAGCATAGCATCTCTTGAGCATTTGATGTATTGTTTATAAATGGACAGAGGGAAATAGAATCAGCGGGGAGGTCAATATAATTACACAGTGCCATGAAAGGAGTGTTTTCTGTGTGTTTATGAAACCTCTGGCTAAGCTGAATTTGTTTCCTCGTGCGTGATGTTGAATACAGACAAATTTAATTGTTAAAGCATTATTGCTCTTTTTCTAGGGTTATTCTTTTGATCTGTTTTCTTTTAAATTGTTTCCTGATGAGAAAACCCATTCAGGATTTGAAATTTAACTATAAGAAAGTCAAAACATTCCTCATGTGTGCTAATAAGAAGTCAAGACTTGTGGTTACTGTGAAAGATTACAGAGCTACCTCATATGTCTGATTAAGTAAGATGCCATGATTATTTAACAAAGTAAAGAAGAGTCATTGTGATGCCAAGCATTGTATTTGAGTGCTCAGTATTTAATTTGTGTTTAGGAGGCTCCACGTTTGATTCATGGTTCATAAAACATCTAAACTGACAGTTTCTAGTGGTGTTTCTGGCAGTGCTGGTGTTACTGTCAAAAAAAATTGCCATGACTTTCTTTCAAAACCATTTTATCCATCACAGCCAGCCTAAAATTCAATCCTGTTTAACCCGTACAGTTGAGGAAGTATTAAATAAACCAAAAAGTAAGTCATCACGATGGCATTGCATAAATTCAGCATCTCACCACACTTTCTGTTCTTACAAGGAGAACTGAAGATTTCACTGGTTGGATGGTTTTAATATTGGCGCTAACTCAGTATCATTTCAGTCCATTGTTTCTGATTGAGGCACCTTTTTAGTTATTATTTTTTAATGTGTGTTTGGGTTCATACCTAAATAAATGTTATGTACTTGTTACCAACAAAAAAGTTGGGACCCAAAGTGCTCAGGCGCTTGAAGAACGGGTCATCCAAGTAAGTAAGTATACATTAATGCCTTACGTTAATGTCGATTGCAGTAGTGTTTCTCGTTAAAATTTGTTTGTTCATATCACAAATATTTATATAAATATATTGTAATTTTCAGGCTGAAGCAGCTTTCAAGTCTCAGATTGGCCAACTTCATGGTGAGTTACAAGAGCAGGGAAATATCAATGCAACTCTAAGTGGTGAGCTGCAGAAACTGAGAGACGGCAGGGATGGAGAGATCAAGATGCTTAGAGAACAGATCTCTCACTGTGAGAATCAGATTAGGCATCTTGAGTCTCAGGCTGCTCACTTAAAAGAGTCTACTGATCAAGCTCAAGAACTTGTAAGGCAGAATGAGGTAAGTAATGCCACATATTGTACTAATATTGACTTTGTTACCTTATGTCCTGATGTAGTGGTCTAGCGGTTAGAACGCTGGGCTAGTAATACCGTGGTCTCGGGTTCGATTCCCGGCGGTGCTCAGATTTACAACTTGTGTTGGGCAAGGCCGTGGGCCAGGCATCACGGAGTTTTCCTCCGGGGTTTCTCCGTGGCATCCCAACAATTACTCCACTTTCATCATCATTTCACAAAAAAGGGGGTCACAGCAGGAGCGTTAAATGTCGCAGTCCCGGTCGAACCCACGTACCGATGGGTCGTGAATCCTGCTAACCTCCAATGCACACCATGCTGAAATGGTGTGTACTGGATACGAAAAAAGAAATGGAAGAATCAAATTCTATTGTGCACAACTTTCTTCTATTACATTGTTTTGTGACTACATGTTTTGCCCTTCTGAGCCGTCTTCAGGCCATACAACATACAGGTGTTGTGTATTTTAAGTGTAATTTTACATACAGTTTTGATTCAGGCACAGCGCCTATATGGGCTCGATGCTTGCATATTCTGATGCGAAGTTTTATCCTTCCAGGAGTTACATCGAATAAAGACTGAATTGGAACATCTTGTTGCTAATTCCAGACAGCATGAGGCAGCATTACAGTATGAATATAAAAATTTACAAGAAGAACTGGAAGCATTGAAAGAGAAATGTGCCAGCTACAACGAAATAAAAAGTGAAGTCAGTCATTTGAGATCAGAGAATGAACAGCTGTTAGCTCAAGTTATTAAAGTGAAAGATCTGCAAGCAGAGACTCAGCATCTGCATGAAGAGAATGAACATCTTGTATCCCAAATAGCCTCATTTTCACAGCTTGAAAAGGAAGCGCAGCAGCTTCGAGAAGAGAATGAGTCACTTGCAGCACAGGTGACAGCAATGACCGAAAGACCAGCAGCGGAGGGTCGGGAAAATGGAGACCTTCACGACCCAGAAGAAAAGCAAGCAGACACCAAGGAGCGTGTCTCAGAAGAAGACAGCATGTGAGTAGCAAGTAATAATTTCTACTCAATTATTGAATTAATATATGACTGGAAGAGCTAAAAAACTTACTAAAATTGGAGGACTGTAGAAAATTTGCGTTCATACCGTGAATATCCATAAAAAGTCGAGATAGCTCAAGCAGTGAAATGACAGCACATAGTTAAACACACAGTAATTTTATTCATTAATTGACATAGTAAAAGTTGCGTGGTTAAATGATAAAATAGATATGAAAAAATGTGTTTTGGGATCACAATTTCTGGTCATAGATATTTTTGACTTTATATGTATTTTGTTCAACATTTCTTGATTCTGACTTTACAGTTATAGGCAGTATTTTACATGCTGACACTGATTTCTCACTTTTATGAATAGTGTGGTGAGAAATGAACGAGAAGATGGCTTTGTGGGCTGAAACATGTTGCTCCCGTATGTTTTATTTTAAGTACAGGCATGTAGTTTTGTTTTGTTTTGTTTTGTTTCAACCCACTTGGAGCTTCTTTAAACCTGCTTATCATAGGTGCAGAAATTCAGGATTGTTTATTGTCTGTCCGCTTGGTGCAGACTGTCCCTGGTCTGTTACAGGCTGTTACGATAGACAGTAAGACTGCTTTCACACGTGAGCACGTGAGCCGCTCAACTGAGGGCCTCGCTGAGCCGGTATGCAGCTCATGTGGAGACGATAAGCAATTCAGAGTTTGGCTTACATGACCCTCCGCTAGAGTTACCAACTTCACTCAGTCCCTCCAGCAACACATTTTCAGTGTATTAGCATCGTTCATCAAATCATGTTGGAACTAGAAGAAGTAATAGTAATATTTTATAGCATGATTGTTATAAATTATTAATAAATAGTACCTATTACAAACAACTTACTGGAGTTTTTCCCCCCCACAATGTGCCTCTCCCTTATAAAGGCGTTGGCTAGCCTGGCTTGATTTGCAGCCCACTGAGCCTCGTGTGAAAGGGTTTCATCTTAAAGCAGATAAGACTCTCCCCGCCAGTAGCCGCTACTAGCGGGGAAAGCTGCATAGTGGCTCATGAGCCGCTCACACAGGTTCACCGGCTCTCGTGTGCAAGGGTCCAATGCATTTTGCTGGAAATTCTATCCCCAGCAGTCACTTCGGCTCACGTGAGCTGTTCACATGAGCCACGTGTGAAAGCAGTCTAAGTATTTCTGTGGCTTTCAAAAACAACTCGTACCCAATTCTGAGATTTTGTGACGATGGTGCATTGTCGAAGCAAACTGTTTTCTGGTCATTATCCATCGTCCAAGATTAAATTAAATCAACAAAACCACGACATTTCGGAGGTGGGAGATAGATTCCCATCTCTGAAACATCCAGAAAACAGTTTGCTTCAAGAATTACCAAGCAAAGACTGTGTTTAGGGTGTCACCAGAAGGAGGAAGGGGTAATGTCAGCTATGGTGAATTTATGTGTGGATCAGGATGTTATGATGTTTGGGGAGAGAAGTTGGTAGTCTGTAATCATGAATGTGGAAAGTCAGCAAATATTACTTAAGACGGCCAAGGTTCATAGTGGGCTGTGACACTGATGATAACAACAACGGTGATGATGGTGTATATGGCCAAGTGCTAGATTATTTTCATTTATGAGTTTTAACCGTAGACCAGTAAGCAGTGACAATAGTTTGCTGTTGGAGACTCAGTCACATTGCACCAATACACTGGATAGTAACAGTAAAGTGTGTTTAAAATTGTGTCCTTGTAATATGTATAACATTTTTGTGAAATGTGCGTGTTCACACGTGGGCAGGTTGGTGCTTGTGTGTGCACAGAGAAGAAACAAATGTGAATGAAAATGCTTGATTTTGTGCAAGTATATTTCAGTAAAAATATCAAAATTTTATGTAAATATGATAAACTCCAAAATCAGTTAAAAATCAATTTCATAAGAAGTGAGCTGTTTTCATTTGTTAACAAGGAAAACGTTAAAGACTACTTACGATAACTGTAATATACCTGCAAGAGGAAAGCAGTATTTCTATTGATTTAATTTATCCCAGAAAAGGCAGCTAGGAGAAACTGAGCTCAGTAATTTTTCCTCCTTAATTCATATCTTAATTTTTTTAAATAAAGCGTTATTGCTTTTTACAGAGTGAAGCAGAAAGAGCTTCTGTTGGAGAAGTTTAATGATGAGTTGAAACAGAAAGATTCTGTTATAGAAAAGCTCAATTCTGACATCAATACATGCAAGACTGAGATTAGTAAGCTGAATGAAGATTTGGAATTACAAAGAAGAAAGAACAATGTAAGTATGCAGATTACTTAATACTGCATTTGATTTTGTTTTGTGTCTGTATATATGCATACATGTATATCTTTTAACACAATAAGCATTTTTTCTCTTGTCTATCATAACATAGAACAACTACTACTGTAAATGAACTGTAATTTTTGGAATATATTGACAAACTTTAACTCTGATATTAAATTACATTATCACTCTGGATGTATTGCCTCTGGTTAAAATATTGTGATTTTGGTTTTTACTATATTTACTGTACTTCATAGTTAGAACATTTAAGTTGTTTCTTAAAATATTACAGGAATGTACATATAAATCTTGAGCAAGTTTGATGAATTGTGTAGGAAGCAAGTTGACCTTTTAGTTAAAGTTTTCTTTGTTATTTATTATGATTTTTGATAACACTATCATTCAGGTAATAGGACCAAAAGGTATAAGTTTGTAAAATTTTCTTCACTCTTGAACCATTACTTACATACTAATAAATTAAATATATGAGCCGGGATAGCTCAGACAGTATAGTGACTAGCTACGGGCTGGACGACCGGGGTTCCCTGACGGGGGCAGAGGATTTTTCCTCTAGCCTCTGCGTCCAGACCGGCTCTTGGGGCCACCCAGCC